GAAGGGGACTGAGAGGTATTATGTTTAGTACACATGGTGTGGGGAATCACGGGGAGAACAGTGTAGCACAGAGAAGGCACATAGTGGATCTCTGGCAACTTGCTGCACTGATGGACAGTGACGGCCTTGGGGTATGGGTGGGGACTTGATAATATGGGTAAATGTAGTAACTACATTGTTTTTTCATGTGAAACCCTCATAAGAGTGTATATCAATCATACCTTAAAAAAAAAAACCAGGCTTTTAAGAATCCTAAGGATATTATCTCACAGGCAGCCCTACATAGAGAAAGATCTGTCTCCGAAAATGATGCAGGTGTGGTGTTTATCTAAGTGTTCATTATAAATGTAAATAAAAGACCCCATAAAGTTTTTAAAGGAACTGTACTAGCTGATACTGAAAGAAACAGAAACAGCACAAAATGAAATGAAGCCTTCGGACAGAAAACAGATTAAGAACACTGAGAAGGCTACTCAGAGGTCCACATGGACTGTTCTTTTGGAAAAGGAAGGATAATTCTGAAGGCAGAATCTGAACCCAGAGGAGCAAAACTGAGTCTTGTCCAAAGTGCATTTTTTGACCCTGGCAGGAAGAACTGGTAGGTATCAGGATGACTACAGATGAGTTCCACTCCTGTCCCCAACCCTTTTGAATGGGTTTACATAGTGCGTCCTGTTCCTCTATCATCACTTTAGAATGCTGGGGTGGGGCAGACCACAGATAACTTCTCTCTTTGGTTCACAGGTCCTAAGATGGAACAGAACTGTTCTTGAAGATCTACACATTGTACCTGAGAAGCGTCACCTGCACTGAGACCTGATTCAGACGACGTGTTATTAGATTTTGAGCTGATGTAGTAATCAGATGAGACTCAGAATAGTTTGTTACTCGGTAGTAGAATACATCAGAAAAGTGGAATTAACTCTACTCCCATCTTTTGGGGCTGAAAAGACCAGACTGTCAACTGGAAATCCCCAAGGGGTCATGGCTGAACAAGAGGTGGACTTTGTCTTATCAAAATGGAAGCCCAGCCCTAACTAACTCAATCTCTGATCGAACTGAGTACTTAGTCTTCAGTTATAGCAGACAGTAGATGCTGTAGTGGGAGATGACATTATCTAGAGCCTCACCTCTATGGTTATTTTGACATATAATATTTAGCATATAATAAAAAACTACTAAATAAGGGAATAGGCAGACCATGTAAAAGAAAACCATGGGAAAAAGAGGTAAAGTCCCTGAATGGTTTGGGTATTTTTGCTTGCTTGTTTGTTGTTACACGAGAAGGCCAATTTCTTCAGACAAAGGTATCTGGGAGTTCAAAGTTCTCTGCCTCACCTGTGTCTGCCAAATATTCCCATTCCAAGATTCCGGAACGCACTGCTTCCCACAGTGCTCTTACCTTAGTGTAAGAGACCACTGAGGTTGTGTGCTTAAACGGCTTTAAAATTCTGCAATCCATACGATCAGGCCTTGGGCCTGATCATCAGCTGTATTTGTCTTGCATCTATAAAAGATAAGAGATTCCTTTCAGGCCACCATAGAGGATTCCTGTCTATTCTCCACACACTCCACCCCCAACCTACAGAGCTGAAGGGGCCAGGGGCTGTGCTGATTTGTCAGTGAAACAACACATGAAAACAGCAATTGTGATGGTCATCACTACCTGCTGAAGTCTCTGATAATCTTCAGCGATTCTTCAAGTCTCACCTCCCCGCCCTCTACCTGCCGCGGCTTCCTTTGGCCAATCCCCACCTGGAGGTATGTAGCCCGGGTGACAGTCTATTGAGGTGAGCCTTCAGGAGCGCAGTGCAAGGAGAGAAGGAAGGACAGTGAGATGGTGAAGTAAACAGAGAATAACCAGCTCACGCCATTCAGCTTCTCTCAGAAAGTTACTGAAGGAAACTTCCCCACATGGGAGACAGAAAAGAGGAAGAGGGAGACATGGGATCAGGAGAGAAGGGAACCAGCACAGGAGGGACATGAGCGGAGCAGCCAGGGTGATGATGGAAAGAAGTCCTAAGTCATCCATTGCAAGAATCACAGCAGCGAGTTAATTCTGGAGCCAGAGAACCAGATTAAAAAGGAACCGATTATCTGCATCATCAGAATATGCTGCAAGGAGTTTGGCAATTTTGAGAAAAAGTTTGAGGATGAATTGATGATAGGTATGCAGAAAACTGGTTAAGTGTAATTTTTAGGTAATTATTACTTATAGGAAAGAGAAAAAGGCATAAGAAAGGAAATGTAACCCTGGTAGTCCGCATGGATCTCCTGAGGACAGTAACTACAGTTCTAATGATGTAAGCACTGAACTTTCTCATCTATGACCTTTAGTATAAGAAGGTATTTTACACAACTATTTTTCACTCTTTGCTCTGGATAAGCTGGCAAGTCAACTAGGAATCATATCATAGGTGACGAAGGGGGATCAGTGGTACTGGACCACATTTAGAGAAGTGATGCTTCACAGGTCAGCATTCTGTACCAGGTGGGGCCCTTCCTCCTTTTTCCTCCTTCACAGGGAGTTCAACACTTAGTCAAACACTTACCTTTGTATCTAGATACTTAAATAGGCAATAGGTACATTTAATGAAATCCAGGAATGCCATTTTATTCAGGGAAAATAGAAATTATCTCAGTATTTTTATTAGAAGGCACAACCCAGTACTTCCCTTTTAGGTTCAAAATTAAAAATTATTAATATAACTAAAGAAATTATTAAAATAGAGAAATGCTTAACCATTTTATTATGAGAGAAAGCAGTAAAATATAAAATGGAGTTAAGTAGGAATGAAGTACTTTAAACATAACATACTCGTATGAAATCCACAAGTGTATTATAAATGAAGGCTCCTCTTGGAAGAAAAAAGCAGCTACCAGGACTCAGATCATGGAAAAAGAAGAGTTCTTGTTCCTAGATCAGAATAAGAATTGTATCTCAGATTTCACTGTTGTTAAGATTTACTGTACACATATGATATGACAGGAATAAAACATATGCTCAGGATTTCCATTTTCAAATAACTGACATCCCAAAGCCCCTCAATACTTACCTCTAACTATATATAACAGCATGTGTAAAATTACGATTCATACGTATGGTTACTTAGCCTTGAACTTAGCTTTTATTTCACCTTTCATTTACTGCTGATTTCCTATTTGGCACTCTGGACTCCTGGGGAAACAGCACTCCCCAGGGAGGGGGGCTTTACAGGACGGTGATCATCAGAGCTGCCACATGCTGAGCGCCTGCCCCACGCTGCCACCATCATGCAGAGTCCGTCCTCCCACCAGCCGTACAAGGCTGCCCAGCAAGAGGGGAGGACATGGAGTTCCATGAGCGATAGCTGGCCCATCAGACAGTGCAGCTCACAGTGGCTGGGTTAGCTCTGAAACCATGTCTACCTGCTTTCAAATCTCTTTCTTTCTGCTCTCATTTCCCAAATATGAACTATGCCATCAAGTACACACAATTTTTAAATGTTATTTTTATATCATGATGAAAATGCGAGATGTGTGTAGTGTTTATAAACTATAATAAAAGATACAGGAAGGAAGGAAATTCAAAGACATTTGGGGTATTAACATAAAAGAACTCAAGAGTAAATTACGAGTGCTAATAAAATAGAAGGCAGGAGAAGGGAAGAAGAAAAGGTATTATTTTTAAAAACAATGTAGCCATAAACTAATAAAGAACATTCCCATCTCAGCAGTGATTCGGATGTGCAGCTACCTTCCCGATTTTCCTGTGGTCACAGTTCTTGGCTTCTTCTTGGAACTTTTCCCAAGTTTTCATCATCTTGTTATCAGGAAAGGATATCCCATAGATTCTCTGCAGTGTTTCCATTTCAGGATTGCCCTCCCAATATGTCGAGGAACTCTAAACATCAAACATGACTTTGATAAACATATCCAACGTCTGGTTACTGGTAAAACTGCTCTTAAATATGTATCCAGTTTCCCACCATACCATCAGCAGAGCTTACATAAAGATCATTTTATGTAATTCTGTGAAGACTCCTAAATGTATTCTAATTAAGCCTTCCTACCCCAAACCAATCAAAAAATTCATGTAAAGAGACGGCTGTGGATTCTAGGAATGAAAAGCGAGGAAGGGTGGGAAGGAGGGAAGGCTGAACGGTGACTGTGATCACCAAGGAGAGAGCAGCAGGGGAGGAAGACACGGGGAAGGGAGGGCCGGCCTCGCTGCGGTCATCAAGCCCTCCCGCGAGGGGAAAACCGCGGCCCGAAAGGCTCGGCCTGCAAGGCCAGCAGCCCCGTGCCTCCAGATTCCCAGCGTGAGGTGGTCTCCGGTTTACCACAGTGCAATCCCCTGTGGTTTTTTATTTTTCCTACAGTACATTATTCTCACAGGCAGAATAAATGTTCTTGTCCCTATTAGGGCAACTCAAGAAAACCATAGTATGCAGAACATCTTTTAGTAAGGTTAAATAAAAAACAACTAAAAACTACAAATAATGTTCTAGCTATCAAAATTCTAGAAAAATTGCGGTATTTTTAGAAGCTCAAGTAAAAATCAAATAATGAGGCATTTTAAAATAGCACAATGTTCAGATGATAAAAGATATGCTTGAAATTCCTCATTATCTAGTTTGCCTTAAGTATGCTACATTAAAAAATAAATAAATCCTTACCTTGAAAATTTTTATGGTTTTAATTATTCCAGTGTGTCTTACGTGGGGGCCTTTACAAAGGTCAATTAGTGGACCACACCTGTAACAAAATATTTAAGACATGCCCAGGCACAGTTATCACTTTTTGACTTTCTATTACAAGCCATGTTCTCATATGTTTTAAGTGAAGGATTTCACTAACTTGTCTGTCTTGAGGCAATATTTTTAATTTAGGGCAATTTAAAGTGATTTAAATTAATTTTTAATTTAGGATGAAGGGGCAGTTCATCTAGCCTCAGATCCCAGTCTTCCCTCCTTTGCTCAAATTCAAAAACTACAGAATCTTCTGAAAGAAAGTGTGTGCATACAGAGACACCATTTCCCGCTGTCACATCTCAAAGCTCTTAAAAACCTTCCATTGTCATAAAACCAAAAAGTACTTCCCTACTCTAATTTTCAAAACCGCAAGTATCTGAAATTTATACAAATGAACTAACTTGATGCCTTATTTTAAAAATAACCTTCACCATGAGAAGATGCTCAACATCACTAATCATCAGGAAAAAGCAAATCAAAACCATAGTGAGGTGTCACCTCACACCAGTCAGAGGTACTTATATACAACGGCGTATTAAGTCATAAAAAAGAATGAAATCTTGCCATTTGAGACAACATACACTGACTTGAGGGTATTATGTTAAATGAAATAAGTCAGAAAGAGAAAGACAAATACCACATGATCTCACTTATATGTGGAATCTAAAAAACAAAACAAATGAACAAACAAACAACAGAAATAGACTCAGACACAGAGAACAGACTGGCAGTTGCCACAGGAGAGGGAGATGGAGGGATGGATGAAACAGGTGACAGGGGAAGAAATTAGTGAGAATGTTTTGATATCCTGCTCTGGGTGGTGGTTACATGAATGTATACACATCAAAATGCATTGAGCTGTATACTAAGATTTGTGTATTTTATTGTATGTACCTTAAAATAAATTTTTTTGTGTAAATACCTTAGTATGTATTTTATTGTATGAACCTTAATTTTTTAAAAATGTTTAAATAACGATAACCTTCACCAAACCCACAGAACAGATGCCACCAAGAATGCACCATAATGCAAACTACAGACTCTGGGTGATTATGATGTGTCCATGTAGGGTCAGCAGTTGTGAGGAGGGTGCCACTCTGGTGGGGCTGCTGCAGTGGGAGGAACTGTGCGCGGATTGGGGGCAGTGGGGAGGGGCAGAGGGGCATATGGGCAATTTCTGTAACTCCCTCTCAATGTTGCTATAAGCCTAAAACTGCTCTAAAAAATAGTCTATTAAAAAACTAAATAAATAAATTTCAAGAGCTTTTTATTTATTTGACATCAGGCCCTCTAGCATGGTAACAAAATGCCTAATTGTCTGCTGGCTTATTAAAAGAGAGCAATGACTTAACGATGCAACTCTCAGGCAGAAGCTCAGATCAGAGACGACATCACTATTAAAACACATGGGGCTACAACTGGGGATCTGCCTATGTCTCTAATGAACAAGGACTCCCGAACCTTAATAAGCACAGATTTCTTCAAGTACACAACAGAAGAGAGTTAAAATACTGGTAACACAGGTCAGAGGGAAGTTTACTTAACAATCAACCAACTTAAGGAAAATTTAGTAAAGAAAGTAAGTTGTTCCTTAACTATTCCAATCAATTTTAAATGTTTTTAAAGTTCACTGTTAAAATTTTTTAAATTACAATGAATACATAAAGGGATTTATTTATTCACCAAAGTAAAATAAAGCTTTAAACATGAAAATGTCATTTCTTTGAATGACCAGATTTTACATACTGTTCTCTTCCAAGATAGGGATTAAAAATCAACACTCACAGTAATGGAAGGAATGCCTAATTAGCATGAAGACCTCCACATTCTATTTTTTAAATAATCCCACAGAAAAAAAAAAACTGACTTGTTTTGCAAAAATCAAACTGATAGACTAAGAAGTGTCAATGTTGACCTAATTAAGGTTCAAACAAGAACCCCAAAAGGTCAAGTATCAAAAGCCAGAACTTTAAAACTTAGCATATCTTTTCTAATTCATTATTTTTAAACTTAAAAACGGATATATTAACATTTATTCAAATTATAGGTAATAAATAATAAAGCCTTATCAGGTAATCAGAAAGTGGTAAAAATAAGCTAAGCATGTCAAATGGCAATGAGTTCGTATAATTAAAGAAATGCACTGTGCATGGCTTTGCAGAAAGGGGAGATGATTTTACTTATAATACCATTAAACCACAGAACCATGAGTACTTGACTGGGGAAAGTAAATGCCTTCCTGAAGGATGTTTGTGGTCATAATTAGAGATACCAGGTCTCCTGAGATGGACTGCGAAGGTCACAGCAGCAGGCAGACAGCCAGAACACACAGAAATGGGCAACAGCAATTACTGTAAGGCTTTTTTTAAAAAAGGATGGATAAAAAGGTGCTCAGATGTTAAATTAATAGAACTAAGTTACTGTGGTATTAATTTCACTTGCTGCTTCTTACCACTTGATTTACCTTTGGTTCCAACATTTCCTTTTGGTTTCGTCATGAATATCCTACTAATGCACGAAGGTTGGTGCTCTTGGATTCCGGGAAATGAGTATTATCAAGAGGCCGAGAAACACTGCGTGAAGGGACAGCCCTAGCAGCTCCCGCTGCCATGTTAATAAGCATGTGGGAAGAGGACGCAAAGTTCCGTTCTCTAGCGGCCCCCCAAAAATGTAAGGCATTGGGCAAATGCTCTCATCCACATGGGGAAACATGTTACAGCTAACATGTAAGAAACAGAATTTGGGTATCCTGTTAAACACAAATTAGAAGAGAGTAATTTTCCTTTGGTGGTAACATTTTGGAGTCCTTAACTAAAGTGTAAATGCAAATTTACAAACAGGCCATCCACTCATCCACTCTAAGACAAACTGCATCTGTTGCTAATGCCTTAAGGTTTCCCACTGAGCAGTGTTTAAAATTTAAGCACACTTTACCTGTAAACTGTGGTAGTTGGAGTGTTAACCTTCTCATTCAGGAAGCGGCATTTGAATTTGTTACACTACAAAGAAAAATACATTTAGATGTTTAAGTGGCAAACATTTTTTGCTTTTTAAAATAAACACTGACTGGGGTTCTCCTATGTATATTCTTTGTGTGAGACCTTGGGAATACCAACAGCTCACAGCTCAGAGCTACACTGTCCAAACTGGGAGCTGGGAGCCCACGTGGCTACTGAGCATTTGAGGTACAACTAAGCTGAAATGAGATGTGCTGGAAGTACAAAACACACTAGATTTCAGAAGTATAATGTAAAACAGGTTGTTAATTATTTTTTATGTTGGAGTGATATTTTTGAAGTGATATTTTTAATATACTGGGTTAAATAAAATGCTATAAAAATTCATTTCACCTTCCTTTTACTTTTAAAATGTGGCTACATTTAAGATTTAAGATTACAATGCAGCTCAGATTTGGGGATTGCATTGTATTTTTATTGAAAAGCACTGTTCCAGAAGAAGACACAGCTACATTATTAATTTGCATTTAAAAAAGTTTATAATAAATGATCACATCATTACAATAAAAAACCCAACAGATGTTTTTCCTTAGTTTTCTGCTCTCATCACTATTACCATAGTGCCAGGTACTCTATATTAAGGGAGGTAAGTTCTTGGAAGAAAAAAATAGATTGGTATGATTCAACTATTTTAAACTTAGATGTTCAAATTAAGTCATTTTTCTTCACAAAGGTTTGACTGAATTTAGTTCTTAAGAGTAACTGCAAAAAGGCAACCCACAGAATGCAAGAGCTTCACTGTAAATCATATATCTGATACAGGGCTAATGTCCAGAATATATAAAGAACTCCTACTACTCAACAACAAAAAATAAACACCCCAGTTCAAAAATGGGCAATGGACTAGAATAGACATTTCTCCAAATGGCCAGTAAATCCATGAAAAGATGCTCAACACCACTGGTCATTAGAGAAATGCAAATCAAAATTCCAATGATATGCCATCTCACAGCTACTAGGATGGCTATTATCAAAATATAGAAGAAAACAAATGCTAGCAATGATGTGGAGAAACTGGAACCCTTGTGCATTGCTGGTGAGAACATAAAATGGTGCAGCTACTGTGGCAAATGGTATGACAGTTGCTCAAAAAATAAAACAAATAAAACAGCATTTCCATATGATTCAGCAATTCCACTTCTAGGTATATACCCCAAAAAACTGAAAGCAGGGACTTGAACAGGTATTTGCACACCCACATTCATAGAAACATTTTTCACAATAGTCAATGAAAGCAAAGCAAGTGTCTTTCGACAGATGAATAGGTAAAATGTTGTGTATACATACACAATGAAATATTACTTAGCCTTTAAAAGGAAGGAAATTCTGACACTTACTATAATGTGGACAAACATTGAAAACATTATGCTGGGTGAAATAAGCCAGTCACAACAGGGCAAACATTGGATGACTCTACTTATGTGAGGTTCTAAGAGTAGTTAAATTCATAGAGACAGAAAGAGAGAAAGGGTAAATGGGGAGGTAGTGTTTAATGGATACAGGGTTTCTGCTGGGGAAGGTGAAAAAGCTCTGGAGAAGGGTGGTGGTGGTAATGGCTGCAGAACAATGTGAACATGCCAAAAGTCAGACAACTGTACACTTTCAAATGGGTTAAAATGGTAAATTTTATATTTTGGATATTTTATACATACACACACAAAAAGAGTAGCTGCAATTTTACCAAACCCAAATATATTTTTTAATTCAAGCCCACAAAACTAACAATATTATGATTTCAATTATGTGCTTTCTGTGTATGATTTCAAAAAAATAAAATTAAGAATATATTTAAGCACATTGCCCAAAACAATATGAGAAGAAGCTAAAACTTCATACAGATTATTCTAGGCTAAGATCTAAAATAATAACAGAAAAAGAAAAGGCCACAATTTTATAATAGTATAAATACTGTTGAATTTTGCAGTCATAATATTAACAATACTCAGAATTGATCATATTAGAAACACACCTATGAAAACTATACACCTGGTCCTTTACCTGCCTACATCCATATTAAAATTTTCAGGAAACAGGAGGGCGATATCACATCAAGTGATGCGTTAACAACCTTACCACAGGGGGGCCAAACTGCTTGGAACAATTTGGCAATAGCCAACCATTTGTAAAAAAAAAAAAAGTTGTCTATGTTGACTATTATTAACACTCCTGGCAAAAACCTTCCTAATTCTAAAGAGCTTCCTGAAATTACCTTAAACATGTCCAGGAGGACTTCCTTGCTGACTTCCAATCTTTCAAACGGTTGCTTCTCTTTGATGATAGTCTGACATAGGCTCTCCAGGGCCAACAGTTCTGTGCTGGACACAGCTCTAAAAAGAGCAAGGAAGAACCAACACACATTTTTCAAACATTGTGCATGCTCTTTTCTGCAGACCCTTGTCCTGTGGCCTTTGTCTCTAACACACTTTCCAAGTTGATGAATTTAGTGTTTTATTGTACCAGGACGTCAGAAAATCCAACATTCTACACAAGGCAGTTAATCCTATTTCTCCAAGAGAAAAACTAAGGCATGAACAGACGCTGGGACTGCCTTCGGTTCTGCTTTGTGAAGAAGTGTGCCATCCGAAAAGCCCTATTAGATGGTCTCCAGGTAGACTGTCTGCTCCTTCGAGGCCTGTTCTTCTCTGCAGTCTCCCTAATCCTTCACACATAGGCATGTTTGTTCACAAGAGCTGTAGTAAGTGCTCACCATGCCCCTGCCCTCACTGAAAGTGGGCTCTAGGTTGGGAGAAAGATCTGGGGCGTGAACTGCAGGGGCAGAGCCGAGGCACTCACAAGGGCAGTCCACCTCTGCCAGGCACTGACTGATCACTTTCAGTCACTCACTGGCTTGCACTCACTCCCTTCCAGCCACACTGGCTTCCTTGCCATCCCTCAAACAAGCCAGGCATGTGCCCAAAGCTAGGGCTACCCCACAGAGGCCTGGATGTTCATCCCCCAGACGTCCATGAATACCACCCAACACTCCCAATAGCCTCGGAGCCTCCACTTGGGCCCCTGCTTCAGCGTCGCTTTACTGTTCCCTGACCACCTGTCATGGCACACACCTCCCCACACCTGGTTTATTTTCCTCCCTAGCACTCACGACCACCTGATAGTGGACGGCTGTTGGGCTGTTTATGTATAGTGGGAGCTGCCCAGGCCGCCAGCTCGAGGACAGACTCATCTGATGACGGCTGAACCGTCAGCGCCAAGCACGGAGTGCACAGGAGGCAGCAAAACATGCTGCTCAATGAATCTTTACAGGACATGAAGGCGGACAAGCCGGCAAGGAGGAGCTACAGAGCTGCGGGGACTAGCTTGGGGAGATCATCCAGCAGGTGGGGGCCACAGGTAAAGGCAGAATGCTCCATAGTCGTCCAGGCAAGAGATGTTATGGGTCTAAATTTAGGCAGAAGCGCAGGGAGGAGAGGAGGCTGGGAGAACTATTTAGATGAAATCGGCAGAAGTGGATTGAGTGACTGGATGATGAGTGGTGAGGAGAGGCGGTGGGGCGGTTTGGAAGGAACCTCAGGTTTCAGTTTTGGCAGCTGGTGGTATTCTTAAGAATTTCGAGGAATGCAAGGGAGGAGGTGGGCTGGGCTGGGCCCGTTGCTGGTGATTTCAAGCACAGACCTAGGATGTGAGGCCTCTGAGACCCACTCCATCTGGTGTTCACGTGTGTGAGATGTCTGGCTAAGGTGGATGGTGCCTTTGATTCACGGAGCAGAGCTGAACTGACTGTTCTCCAGGGATTTACCCTTTAGTTCGGCCTTAATTAGGCCTTAATTGCTCTAGCAATACCCAGGTTACATAAAGAGTACCTCAGTTCCTTCAGTGGCAAGGAGAGAAAATTTGAAAAGTTGCCCTGGGATCTGAAGTCATAAAAAATAATTTTCAAACATAGGCAATCTGTTATCACATCATAGAACATACACATCCACTAAATAGTTAGGTAATCATAAAACAATGAACCATACACACTTGCATTCAGAAATGAATATTCACGTGTTACCTGTCTTCAATGAACATGTCATAATAAAATCCATTTTCAATGGGTGGACCATGGCACAAGTGGCCTCCGTAGTACAGCTCCATGGCCTCCCCAAGAATGTGAGCGCTGGAGTGCCAGTACACCTGCAGGGCACAGGACACAGAGGCCAGGGGCATCACAACTATGACCTATTCTTGGTAAAATAACATGAGTAAACAGGTGGGTAAATTCTAAGGAGATAAATACCAAGACACAGATGACATCAATTTGAAAAAATCAGGGCCCAGTTAGAACACAATGTTTTCTGAGCACTCCTGAAATCCGCCAGAGCCATTCTCTTGGTCTAGGGTAAAACTGCTGTTCTGAGTCACAGCTAGAGCACAGCTCCCAAACCATTTCCTTCTGTGCATTTTAAGTTGCACAGGGGTTGTGAAAGCCTCAACCACTCACTTGGAACAGTGAGCAGAGTAGCCCCATGCAGGCCTGGTTCAGCCCAGAGTGGAGGACACCCGAGAAGTGACAGACAGGGGTTTCCTTCCTTTTTCTCCAGGGGCAGCTTCTGAGCTGAATGCGGAGGACCAGCTGTTCATGACGTCACTAACGTTACCGATATTTCCAATCTATGCAGCATTCTTTCCATGCTAAATTCACATGATTGTGGACATTTGAAAGATGGCTTGGGGCAGAAAAGGTGATTCTGGGGAATGCCTGCTGGCTTCCTGAGAACCTCCCCCCACCCCCTGCCAAGCAGTATACATATGAGTTAATTTACCATAATTCAAGGGCGGGTCATCAGCTCTACAAGTTCAGAAAGTTTGGTTTTGAATTCCCAAGGAATCAATATTTATGGATAAATTAAAACTAACCAAAGTCACCAAATAAACAGATGTGCCAAAGGAGCAAGATAATCAAAACCTCTCGCAGCACCTTCTTTTCCTTTATTAAATCGCGAACAATCACAATCAGAAAGCTGTTTGAGGAATTACTCGGAGCAGAAGGAGTCAGCTGACTGAGCAGGCTGTGAAATCCCGACCCACTGCACTAGGCTGGGATATGACCTCCAAACAGACCCAGAGGGTCGGTCCTTGAGCCAGAGGCCCTCTGCTTTGGATGGTGCCATGAGGGCAGGCTAATTGCCACCCCCAGCCCAAGTCTCCTCTTCAGTGCATTGTCTATGCCTAGATACTTGTTGAGTCAAAAATTGTGTTAGGTGCTGAGGATATAATAGTGAAAGAAACATGCAGTTTAGTCCAGTAGGGGAGAAACAGGCAATAAACAAACCTGTAAGTGCACAACTGCAAGATGAGAGGATTTTAAAGGAGATGAATAGGGCATTGTAATAAAGAATAGCAGTGAAGGGGAGTCGTCATTATTCATGTTCACAGGGAGTCAGGAACTGTGAACTGTGTGGCTAACATGTAGGAATGGAGCAGAATAGCCTGAGAAAAGTTGGAGAGGTAAGAAAGAGATGGTGACCATGCAGGCCTTAGGGAGGCATTTGGGTTTTTATTCTAAATGCAATGGGGATCCATTAAAGTATTTTAAGCAGAAAAGAAATTATTCAATCTATTTTAAAGCATCGCTTGGTAGCAGTATGGGAATGGATTTCAGAGGAATGAAATAGCAGGTGGGCAGTTTCTTGTGTAGTGCTATAATAGCACCATTATAGATTCTAGGCAGTGGCAATGGAGACAGAAGTGAACAGATTCAATACCTTCTGAAAGTAATGGCTTACCATTAAATCAGAGATTGGAGTTCAGGGACAACACACACAACCTCCAAGATTCTGGGTTGAGCCACTGGGTATATGGGGAAGCTGTACATTGAGATGGACAGACAGCAAAGAAGTAAGTTTTGGGGTTCAAATCAAGAGTTTCACTGTGAATGTACTGAACTAAAAGTTCTTGTACAGTATCTGAGTGGAGACACCATATGTGCAGTTGTGCATGCAAAAGCAAAGTATGTCTAGCCACAGACAGAAGAGTTGAGAGTGGACAGTCAATAGATGGACAGCTTAGAACAGGAAGGAGTGTGCTAAGGACAGAAGGGGGCTATGACTGAGCACTGAAGAATTCTTAACTTTGGAGGCAGACGAAGAAGAAAGACCCAGCAAAGAAGACTGAGAAAGAGCCAGCGAAAAAATAAAACCAGGAAAGCATTGGCACTATGAAGAACCTTAAGAGTGGTTCAGTTAATTCAGCTGAGAATACCTAGGATGGGTACGGGGGACACCCAACTCAGGCCATGATACACTTGGAGAGACCACTGAACATGACTACAAGCACACTGCAGTGCTAGCAGACTCGGCTCTTATATAAATCTGCTTTTTTGTTACTTACACCTCCAAGTAAATACCTATGTTTTCTTAAGCATGAGATCACAGCTGCACATCACTGATTTTTCCTGGGATTCCACCAAAGGTTTAAAGTAGAATGTATACCCACATATATTCTTTTACTGGACATTATGCTTACAAAAGGAAATATTAGATAAACTTTGAACCTGAAAGCTGCATCATTTTATGAAATACCCCTTGTTTCTGGTATGCATATTTATCAACTTTACATGAACCTCCTAATTCTTTCATTTTCTATGTGAATTCTTCTAGAGAACAGAACAGTATTTCTTCTGTATCTTATATTATACACTAAATATTCTTAGAATCAATCATCTTTTTAAATAAAAGTAAGCATTTGCTATATAAAGGAATCTTGGATTTTTCAATGAAGCAAAAAATGCTTTTACAAAATAATTAATTTATCACTTTTAGATCTGAGTTTTCTAGACTTATGTTCCTATAGGGTTTTTTAAAATGGGTATACGCACTAAATATTCATAAATTGGCTTATGTTCATAGTAACAGGAAAATAAAATCCAAAAACAAAAAAATCTTTTACTAAATTACACTAAAATAAGCATTAAAATTTTGATAAAGTTATGTAACTGTTCTGAGCCCTGGTTGCTGCTTCATCTTTAAAAGAAGGATTAAAACAGGAGCAGTGTGTAACTCGGGACTCCAGGAAATAATGCACATTCAGAGGCTGGGGCTGGTGCCTGGTACGTAACAAGCATTCAGTAAATGTTCATTATATTCTAATTTTCATCAACAACCACACCTATTTATGGGAGCCCTGTAATACATGCCGGGTACCTGTTAGTATCACAGGCAGCAGAGGGGTGTGCTGGTTTAGGCATTCTAGAAAGATTCCCCAAGACAAGGAGTGTTTCCTTTTCCATGATGTCACCAAATGCAAGAAGGAAAGACCTCTGAAGATGCCAACACCTCCGTGGAACATTAAACTTGGTAGTTTCTCCACCCCTACCACCCAGACATGACAGATTGAAAGCTGAATAGCTGTCCATTGAAGAAGAGTTGCGGGAACCGCGCCTGCAGATAAACCAGAGCTACGAGAGGGGCAAGGCCTGCTGATGCCAGCCCCAGGCAGGATTTAGGCCCTCAGAAGGTTTACAACTAACTGCCATGCCAGCTCTCATGGCTCCTGTCAGTCCCAGCCCCCGTGTGCCTGTCCCCAGAGACTGACACTACCTGTGAGCATCTCATTGTTGGTTTCCTGTTTACTCCTTCTCCCCACTAGATGTAAACTCCTGTCCACTGCAGCCCACAGGGTCCAGCACGTGCAGCCAGCACCTTCAGCACTAGTCAGTGGACTAAGGGAATATATAAATTTTACAAGTCCAGGGATGGCATCTGGGATGAGGTTAGGTGACATTTGTAAGGGACTAGTGAGAAAAACTAAATAATATATATATAAGCTGGTTTTCTTTCTTTTAAAAATCATGGGGGGGCGGAGCCAAGATGGCGGCGTGAGTAGAGCAGTGGAAATCTCCTCCCAAAAACACATAGATCTATGAAAATATAACAAAGAAAACTCTTCCTAAAATAGAGACCAGAGGACATAGGACAACATCCAGACCACATCCACACATGCAAGAACCCAGCGCCATGTGAAGGGGGTAAGATACAAGCCCCGGCCCGGCGGGACCCGAGCGCCCCTCCCCCCAGCTCCCTGCAGGTGGAAAGAAACCGGAGCATTTCTTTTTTATTTTGGCAACTGCTTTTTGGAAGCCTTAAAGGGACAGGGACCCTGGTGCTAGGGAGGCAGGGCAGCAGGACCGGTGAGTGGGTGCCTGGGACCGGCGCCTGAGGACAAAGAATATTGCGCGTTTTTCCCTTTTTTTTTTTTTGGC